ACACATCTATCAACCACCTTATATGGGAAATTGGAACTACTCTCAACAATCTCATCAATAATCCATATATAGAGGGTTTCAATTATGGTACAGGGGGGCTTGCAATGACACAACAACAATCAAGTAGCAGTGGCAGCAACAACACTACTTATGATCAATGCACTTTTAACAACTACTACCAAGAATATCAATATGGAAAAATAGGCCAACCAATTCATAGTGATGATCAAAGTGATGTGAGATATGGAGATTCTTCTATACCACCACGTAATTCTTTTTATTACTAAGTTTTAGACTTGTTGATTTGTAGTAGATTGTTTGTATGTGACTATGACTGAAGCGAATGATTTATTTTCATGTCCCTCTTTCTCTTCTTAATTTGTTGTGCATGTGGAAGTATTTCATTGTTGAAAATAAGTAAAAAAACATTTCCACATCAATTTTATATTAAAATTTTAACATATATACCAAATAAAAGCTTGAGACTAAAATAAATACATATCATTTAGTTGAAAATGAGTCAAAAGTGCCTCTACATATCAAAATTTTGATTAAAATGTGATAAATTAAGGCTAAAAGAGTAAAAAAAAAAAAATGCATAAAATTGAGTTTTAGAGCGATTGCTAATGATTTTTGAAATTTCACAGTCGCGACGCTTGATACCCGATACGTATCGGTCGATACTACCGATACTGATACTCCGCGATCGATACCGTTACGTTACCCGATACCGCGATTTAGAACTATGATGGTGAATCCAAAATTTCACCAAGAAAAACATCGTTTTTTGCTAATAATCTCTCAAACTATAAACAATAGTTAGGGTAGAAAAGAGTAGATACAATTTATATCAAAAATAATAATGACTATTAACTTGAGAAAATGGAGAGTCTCAAAATATTAACTCACCGCCAAGTTCATCACCAAGTTCATGAACTCTAATTAATCTCTATTCATGAACAAGACAAAAGGTCACCAAAACAATGAACCTCCATTCACCAAACAAAATGAAATCCATAAACAAGAAAAAAGAAGATTCATGAACAAAATATATAAATAAATAAATAAAAGATATTAAAATGGTCGAACACTTGATCTTCTTAATTTCTTTCAATTTTGAATGAATTATGTTTGTTCTTACTGTTCTAATGCTGGATGAGGCATTGTTGAATTTAACATATGAGTTTAGTCTTTTCGCATGCCTTTTATTGTTGATATGTGGTTGCTTTGAAATGGTGAATTTGGATGCATAGAGTACATGATTGTTTATAGTAGTTAATTTCTCTTTTTTTTTTTTTTAATCTTCTTAAACTACACAATTTTTTTCAGTTCATGTGGTCCAATTGGAGATGATTTTACAATTCAGAAACTGGTCAAACTTGATTGATGATGGGTGTAGAGGTTATTTCAGAATTTAAACAACTATAACCCTACAACCATACAATCATTTTTCTTACTATTTTGAATAAACTGTATCAGACAACTAATTTGATGAGTGTTTGGTTGTATGGTTAAACTCTTCATATTTTGAAATGACATTTTTTACCATCAAATTAGGGGTTAATGATTCATCTCCAATTGGGCTATATGAAGTAAAATCAGAAATTTTAGGAACTAAATAGATAAAATTGATAGTTTAGGTATGGAAAAAATAAAAAATGGTGATAGTTTAGGCGATAAAAAGGAAATTAACCCTACATTCTGAGATATGATTAGCATTTTTAAGTTAATCAGATGATGATTTTTATTGGATCATGAATTTCAAAGAATGAATTTTTGAGTTGGCGAGAAGAAATGTGCATTAAACCTTAGAAATAAGAAATTATGTATTGTCATTGGATGATAGCGGCAATGTTATACCCTAATTAATTGATTACCTAACTTCCTGTGGCTTGTTTATTGGTTCTGGTTATTTAGGAACTTAATATTTTTTCCTATTTGGTTATCGTTAACCACTTCAAGGAACCATTTTGATATGGATAAACATCATATAAACAGCTCTAAAAGAATTCATAGAATATTTATCTGGTTTAAAAGCTGAAAATTCCAAATCATAAAATTGTGATTAGTAAGTAACTAGTTATAAAACATTGTGTTTCTACCCAAGTTTTATAGGCGAATGTGTAATGTGAGGCGTTGGGGCATATGCATTTCGAATTTTTATGTTTAGTAAATAAAATAAATAATTTAATTAAAGGTGTAAACACTTTTTTCTTCAAGCCGTCGAACATTTCATTGCAAAGAAGGAAACTACCCTCATTGAAAGTAAAATTGATGTGATTGAGTTTCTCATTTGACCATTAATTGTGTTATTTTAATCTTTTCTTGATTGGTCATTTGCTTAATTTTTCCTATAGAATATAATTGCAAAAGGGATTTCTTTTAATTTTCTACTTTTTTATGTTTAAACCATCTATTAGAGTAAGTTTAACAAGAGCCTAAGATAAGCTCTTCATATGCATACTCTTCATATGTTTATGCGCAAAAGGCATACCAGGTGTCCCTAACGTGCATGCCTCAAATTGTTATGCGCAAGCCTTGGGGGAGTATAACCTAAAAATCCAAGCCTTGATGAGTTTTGCTTTAACCTCGCTTTGAGGTAAGCATCAAGGCAAGCCTCAGTAAAGTGTTTTAAAACTTTGATTTCCACATTACTTCCAGATGAGCTTACTAGGCATATTCTGGAATATGGGTGATCTCAAATGATGCATATTATTTACTAATGACAATTTTAGTTAGTGATAATAGTAGAGCAGCTATTAATTCTAGGTTGGAATCATAGATAAACACCCTTAACAATTAAACATATAAGATTAAGTTTGACTTGCACATTGTACTGCAACTATGGTAAACCCAGGACAGAAATCAAATGACTGAAAATTGATGGCCAAGAGATAGCCAAGAAGTGAACTGTTTGCTATCGTAGCTTCTATAAGGAAGTAGAGAAAGCATGATAAATAAATTTTAAGAAAATGTCCTGTGTGAGCTTCTTGGAATTATAGAATACTGCCCCAAGTAACAGGAAAAGTTATTCATTCTTTATACCGAGAATTTCACCATTGAAAATAATGATTTAATAATAACAATAATAAAGTGGCCATCTTAAAAAAAATGAGCATGGGCGAAGTGAAGATGTTTAGATAAATTGGTGGTAGAGAGAATAAGAAAAATAATGCATGAGAGAAAAATTAGCGGGGATATCAATCCATAACAAGATGAAATCAAAGTAGATGGTTTATTACATGCAAAAAAGACCAAATGAATGCTTCACTGCAGAGCAGTGATTTGATTAAGAGGGGTGGGCACACCTAAAGGACATGAAGAAGACTAAGATCATGAGTTGAGGTCGTGAGAAGAGATATGGTCCCTTAGGACTTATTAGTGTGGGATACATCTCTAGTTTTATATGACATAGAAAATACTAATGTAACTGACTCTTCTTGTTGGGATTAAGGCATTTTGTGATGAGGTGGATTAAGGTAATTATAAGGGAAAAATCTACTATACCCCTTGTCTTTTAAAAATAGTCACATACTTCCATGTGATTTTGGACTAAACTGTTACTGTTATTTTTTCCAGCTAAAATAAATGGAAAATGTGCTACATGCGCCTGTTTAGAAAGTGGGGGAAAAATAGTTGAAATCAAAATTTAATGTCTACCTCTGTTAAAACCTATCACCTACTTCACCCACTTAAACCTACTCCTCTAAATCTCTTTCTCACTAAACCCTAGCTCTCTCATCCCTCTCTCTACGATGAACCTCTCATCACTGACACTCGAATCAAACCCTATCACAGCTCAACAGAGGAGCTTCTATGGAAGAATCATCCGAACCTGTGCTGGGTCTCACCTTCTTCATCTTCACCATCGCAAGGACGCGGTGTTCTCTGTGAAGTCTGTTGCTTCTTCTCCTTCTTCTTCATCGCCATCTGCTGTGGCTGCTGAGCAGGCGAGTCAGGGGCTGAGTCGAATCGGATCGCTGAGTCAGGTCTCGGGCGTGTTGGGTTGTCAGTGGGGTGATGAAGGTAAAGGCAAACTCGTCGATATCTTGGCCAAGCACTTCGACATTGTCGCTCGTTGTCAGGTATATGTATACATGTATGATCTTCAAGAAGGTTTCTTTTTTGGTCTCGAATTAAAATTTACATTCTTGTTTGGGAATTAGGAGAGAAAAGAAAAGAAATTGTTACAATTTGATATGAGAGAAAAGATTTCTCTGCTCTTTTGTTTGGTTAAATTACATTAAAAAAATAAAAATTATCAAAATTGCAAATGAGGGTTATAGAGCACCCCATTTATTACCTTTAAAAATTAATCCAAACAAATGAGAGAAATGCATTTCTTTTTCTTTTATTCCAAAGTCACCAGATCCAAATGGGCTCTTTTACTTACAAAAGATTGTCTTTTGGGTCTTATATGCAAAGGTGAAATAAAACAGTAAAATACATACGATGATTACAAGCATATGGATTCCTCATACTGTTTGACAATTCACTCTACATGCATCAACTAAATTTACCCTTGTTTTTTTTTTTGGGTGAATAAAATTTACCCTTGTTGGTTATTCATCTTAATCGAAGTTTTGACATCCACAAGATCTCATGGCATAAATTGGACATATTGTTAGTGTTTGTTTTGTACTCTTAATGGCCTGGTGTTGAAATTAGTTCTTTAATAAGTGATTACTCTATACTAAACATGTTAGAAATTGGAGATCAGTTTATAAAAGACAAAGTAATTTGGTGGTGGTGAGATTTTTGAGGTGCTAGTGCCTGAATTGTCAGTTTGCTAAAACCAATTTTATTGGCAAGGCAAAGGATGTGCTAGTAGTTTAGTGGTGGTAGTGGTGATAGGATGGATATAAGTAAATGTTACATGTTTGCATATATTACAGGTGGTGGGGTTGGTAGTCATTTTAAGTGACATTGTTGACTGGTCGTTGGGGGTTGTTTGGGCAAAGTAACCATTTTTAAGCGGCAGTGGTGGTGGATTTGTTGTGGTATTAACTATTAAGGGTGTTTTTGGAGGTGGGCTCGACATAATAACAAAGTTGTTGGTGGTGATAATAAGTGGAAGAGGCATTTGAGGTATTGCAATCAGATCAGACCCATCACAGCCGACACTAACCTAATGGGATGGTCATGAGCTTCAGATCTGAGAGTGCCCTGTCTAAACACCTTGATTGGATTCTTTTGTCATTGAATTCGTCACGTTTGGCTCTTCCTTTGCCATATCGGAATTCGTCAGCTATGATTAGCCAACCAGTGATGCTTCCTCAAAAATGACCTTCTGTGTGGCACTGGTGTCCAATCAGAAGAGGATAACAAAAGCGGATGGGTTGTGGAATGGGGTAGGGGGGAAGTGGAGGTGGCAATGGTGCTGAAAGAGGAAGGGGTGGGGGGCAGTGGCTGGCGAAGGAGGAAGTGGGAATGTTGGAAGGGGAAGAGGGTAGTGGCTGGGGAAGGGGGAGGGGGAGGAGAGGGGGCATTTCATCTATGGGCATCACCCATTCCTTTGCTATGGGTGTCATAATGTTTTGATACTTGAATGTAGAGTTCATCCAAGTTAAAAAAGCTCAAAAATTTGCAACTAAAATACCAAGTTCCCCAATCTACAACTAGTACTCTGATGAACACCAGATAGTAACTCTTTCCTACTTCTCTTTATGATTTTTGGATATTCAATTTACATGTAAACATGAACATCTATATTGCCACAATTCAAAGTATATTTTACTTGTGGCTGGTGAAAGTTTTTTTTTTTTTTTTTTTTTTTTAAAGACTAAAAAAGAAAGAACCATCAAAAAGGAAAGGTCTTCTTTTTGAGTTGATAAACCTTCTGCTGAACATGCTTTATGTGATTGTAAACAGCCAGGTGTCTGAGACTTGCAATCATTTTACTCTAAAGCTTTGAATATAACTTGATGTCAGGGTGGAGCCAATGCTGGACACACTATTTACAATGCAGATGGGAAGAAGTTTGCCCTTCATCTTGTTCCTTCGGGTATTCTTAATGAGGAAACTGTGTGTGTGATTGGTAATGGGGTTGTAGTGCATTTACCAGGGTTGTTTGAAGAAATTGATGGCCTTGAATCTAATGGGGTCTCCTGCAAAGGTAGGATATTGGTATCTGATCGTGCTCACTTGTTATTTGATTTTCATCAAGTAGTAGATGGCCTTAGAGAGGCCGAGCTAGCTAATTCCTTTATTGGCACTACCAAGAGAGGCATTGGACCATGTTACTCCAGCAAAGGTATTCGCAATGGCATTAGAATATGTGACCTTAGGCATATGGACACTTTACCTCAGAAGCTTGATCTGTTATTGTCAGATGCAGCTTTAAGATTCCAAGGTTTTAAGTATAGTTCAGACATGCTCAAAGAAGAAGTTGAAAAATACAAGAGATTTGCTGAGAGGTTGGAACCCTTCATTGCTGACACTGTGCATGTCGTGAATGAATCCATTGCACAAAAGAAGAAGATTTTAGTAGAAGGTAGTCAGGCAACCATGCTGGATATTGACTTTGGAACCTATCCATTTGTAACTTTCTCTAGCCCATCAGCTGGTGGAATCTATACTGGTCTTGGCATTGCCCCTAGAATTCTTGGTGACCTAGTTGGAGTGGTAAGAGCTATAATTCTTTCATTTCTTTATTATTTTTCTCTTTTCTCCCAAGTGTCTCTTGTAGAAAGTGATTTCGCCTGAGTGTTTCATGGTAATAACATTTGTACTTCGCACAATACACTTATACCATGGTCATTTATGGTACCTACCTGATATTTTATAGTGCAGATTAAAGCGTACACCACTAGAGTTGGTTCAGGTCCTTTCCCAACAGAAATCTTGGGTAAAGGTGTTGACCTCCTTGGGTTTGCTGGGCTGGAGTTTGGCACGACTACTGGTCATCCTCGTCGTTGTGGCTGGCTTGATGTAGTTGCTTTAAAATATTGTTGTCAGATTAATGGCTTTTCTTCTCTAAATCTCACTAAGCTTGATGTCTTGTCGGATCTTCCTGAAATTCAGTTGGGGGTATTGTATAAACACGCCGATGGTACACTAGTCAAATCCTTCCCTGGTGATCTTCGCGTTCTCGAGCAACTGAAGGCAAGCATTTCTTTTTCCTTTCCATATATTTATTTGGAGCTGGTATCTAAACTTACACAGGGCTGTGTATATTTTAGCCCTCGTACACTAGGTCGCCTTTTTTACTCAATGGAGAATTAAACTTTGATAGCATTGGCTCACTAAATAGAAACTTTACACGTAGTATGTGGTTGGTTGTCCATTTTTGTTTTCCATGTATTGGGACCCTACTCGTTCTCAAGGATGCCAAAATGAAACTTGTCTTCACCTGGAAACCCTAGTAATGAATCTTCTCTGTCCTAAAAAAATAGTCCTATTTCTAAGTAGGAAATTACCTGAATGTGATGGTTTACACCTGATGTTTGACCCTCCCCCGCTTGCTGTTTTGTATCAATAATCTAATACATAACAAAAATTAAAGAAAATAGTTGAAAAACTAAAGATTGAGTTTGTAATTGTTTCCATTTGCCTCATAGTGGCTTCCATTCACCATGTGAATTGTATTTTTTCTTTCTTATATATGTCAGGTGGAATATGAAGTTTTATTGGGGTGGCAATGTGATATTTCGAAGGTGAGAAACTACTCTGATCTTCCAAAGGCTGCACGGGAATACGTGGAAAGGATAGAAGAACTTGTTGGTATTCCCATCCATTACATAAGCGTCGGGCCTGGGCGTGATGCTCTTATATACAAGTGATATTATTTATTAGGGTTTCTGTTCTTCTCAATTGCTAGAATGAAGCTTTTTAATGCTGGAGGTGTATGTCCCCTGTGATTGGGATTAATTTTTGGACAAAGAGATAAATTTTTAGTTAGCGGACATGCATTCGTTGTAACAAATATTAATTCTCAATCTGGGCTACTTTGATAGAGTTGTTGAATTTGAATAACTTTGCTGGGTAATAATATAGGGCATTTTGGTATGATACCATGGCTTAGGCTCTGTTTGGTGCAGTTTGTAGGTTTTTTTTTTTTTTTTTTTGAACAGTAAATCAGTCAATTTTGGAGACACCGAGTCTTTGACCATTGTTGATTTAGGATTTTTCTGGGACCTTATTTGTCAATAGGGTAAATAATTAAAAAGTTAAAAATTATTGTAAGTTGTCATATCATTTTTTTAATTTTTTATACATCTTTTAATAAAAAATTAAAAAAATAATTTTCAAACATGCCAAAAATCAAAAAAGTTATTAATGCTAAAATGAGCCTCAAAACCCACCTAAATGGCATCTAAATGGCTTAAGTATGGAAGCATGCACAAGGGCCCAAACAAGGAGCATAAGACAACAACCTTTTAACACATTAAAGGTGTATCAAATGCAAGCATATAGGCATGCCACAAGGACTGAAATAACATGACAAGTGGTTCCAAACCACCGAAATGATGCAAGGATGGCATGCTAGAGGGGTCAATGCTCAAGGCATACAAGAGAGTTTGCATGGTAGATATACAAAGCAAAGCATTGATGCCTCAAATGACCAAAAACAGTCCCTTAGCACACTAAAACAAGCATAAAAGCTTCACAAAGCTAAGCCAAAACAAGTAAGCATAGTGGTCTAAATGCTAGATACATGTTGAGGCAATTTCATGGCATTACAAGACAAGTATGCAAAGCAAGCATGGTGTGTCTAAACCAACTTAAAACAGTGCTATATCATGGAAGATTTCAGTGGTGAGGAGGCCCAAACAAGGTGGTCCCGAAACTCACCAAAAATAGCACAAAATGGGGCCAAACAAGGCCTAAGAGGGGGTAAATGACCCCAAACACAAACGTGGTCTTAATGAAGTATCTTAAACACAAAAAAACAGAACTTTTTTATGTTATACACAAAGCTCAAATCAGCAAGAAAGATAGGCTAAAAGGGAGTGTAAAAATGGGAAATAAAGAGGGAAAATGGGTTACCTTTGTAGCCAAAAGGGGACAGCAGCCTCTAGACCCAAAAATGCAACCTTCAACCTCTGAAAACAAGACCCAAGGACCTCCACGTGATGATGGAAGTGTTGTGCTAGGAGGTGTAGTTCAAATGGCCAAGAACTAGACCCTTTTGGACCGTCTAACCCACCCAAATGTAGAGAGAGGGGGAGATATAGAGAGGGAGTGATATATATGTGATATATATCAGATTTTTCTAACCTCCTAAAGGGGAGGAGAGGCTCTCTTTTTATAGAGAAACCAAGGGGGCAAAGCTTCTCTTAGAAGCTTTGACCAAAAAGGCCAAGCTTCTCTTAGAAGCTTGGAGCAAAAGGGCCAAGCTTCTTGGAGAAGCTAGGCAAAGGGGTCAAGAGGTTCAAGCTTCTTCAAGAAGCTAAAAAAAGGGTCAAGCTTCTTGGAGAAGCTAAAAAGGGTCAAGCTTCTTGGAGAAGCCAGACAAAGGGTCCAAAGGTTCAAGCTTCTTGGAGAAGCTAAAAAAGGTCAAGCTTCTTAGAGAAGCCAAAAAAAAAAAGGGTCAAGCTTCTTGGAGAAGCTAAAAATGGTCAAGCTTCTTAGGGAAGCTAAAAAAAAGGTCAAGCTTCTTGGAGAAGCTAAAAAGGGTCAAGCTTCTTGGAGAAGCTAAAGAGGGGCACACCGACCAGCAAAAAAAGGTCACCGGCCAAAACAAAGTGTCGGTTAGCAAAATATAGTGCCGACCGGCCATTGGTTTTAAGAAACCACTGCCGGTGGCACCAATAAACAGCCGGTGATGTGAGAGGACAGTCGGTGGGGTGTGGGAATGGCCAACAAACCATTCCCTGCCTTTCAAGGCAAAAAAAACACGAGTGTTTGGTGCAAAACCAGACATCGAAAAGTCGAGTCGAGAGATCCTGAGGCGAGGCGCGCAGCCGAGACCTCCAGGAACTCGAGATGAACACAAGCACGGATGATCACCGAGTGTTCCAACGGTGACGTCCAAGTCTTGAGGCCGGTAAAAAATGGGGTGCCTACAGGTGTTTTGGAGATAGGTTGGGTTCCTGACATAACATCAACCGTAATTCTATTTCTCTATCCACTGACTGCCCAGGCAATTCATTTGGAAAGACATCGGGGAATTCTCTAACCACTGGGATGTCGGCTAACTCAACATTTCCATTCAATTCACTTAGTATACTACATAGATAACCTTGACACCCCTTTTGGATCAACTTATAGGCTTTCATGGATGAGATTAAGTAAGGTGGGGGTACTACTCTTTTACCCTGGAAAATAGCCTCGGCTTGATTTGGGGGTTTCAGTGTGACATTCTTTAAAACACAATTAATAGATGCATGATTGGCTACTAACCAGTCCATTCCCAATATGACATCAAAGTGAGTCATGCTTAACGGCATTAAATCAACTAATAATTCTACGCTCTCAATCACAACGACAAACGCCCTATAAATGGATGCAACAATCATAGTTCTCCCAGATAGAGTAGACACATATAACACATAATCAAGGGGTTCTTGTTCTCTATTTAACTTCTTGGCAAACTTAGCAAATGAATGTGTAGAACCCGAATCAATCAATATGTATGTATCTTGAGAGCAGATTGGGAGTATACCTGACACGACTGTCTCAGTATTCTAAGTGTCTCCTGGTACCAATGCAAAAACTTGGCCCTGTCTCGTCTGGGCCCTTCCGATGTTATTTCTCTGTGCGAAGCCCGAGGTACTCCCATTCTTCTTACCATCATCAGTCCTTGCCTTCAGACAGTCTTTCACGTGGTGACCCATTTCACCACATTCAAAACAGGCTCCTGATGTCCAACGACAAACCCTGGAATGCGGTTTCCCATAACTTGCACACGTCGGCTTAGCATTATCTTCCTGGTTCGAGTTGCTGGAGCTGCCCAAATTTGCTTTCTTCTTGGCGTCAAATGGAACTCGGCGACTATCATAGTTCTGTCTCTTCCTCTGGCTCTCTCCTGAATTCTGATATCGATTCAAGTTAGCTTCTGCAAGGATGGCCTTGTCCAATACTCCGGTGTAAGTCGGCATGTTGAGCATGTTAACCCGATCTTGTATTGGCCCACGAAGCCCACTTTCAAACTTCCTGGCTTTTCTATATTCATCATCGACCATGTGAGGCGTATATCTCGCCAACTCGGTAAAAGCACGGTCATATTCTGTCACTGTCCTACTGCCTGGTGTTAGAGTCTGGAACTTTGTAGTCTTGCAGTCTCGAACGCTAAGGGGAAAGTGTTTGTTGTAAAACAACTCCAAAAATCTAGCCCAAGTCAAACCTAGGTTGCTTTCTTGGGTCATCATCCACCATCTTCATGCATCGGCGTCTAGTGTGAACGCGGCCAATGACACCTTCTGGGCGTCGATGCTGGGAAAAATCTCAAACAGTTTCTCCATTTCCAAGACCCATGCCTCGGCTTTCATCGGCTCTATACCCCCAGAGAATCTCGGCGGTTTCATTTTCTTAAACTCTCGGATCAGGGCTATGGTGCCTTCCCCATATAAAGCTTGCTATGGAGGCACTTGCGGCGCTGGAGGAGGTGGAGGTGGAACTACATGTCGGCCGTTTGTCTGCTTGGCCTGGGTAGAAGTAGTACTAGCGTATTGTGGCCTAGGTTGTCTCAACTCACGGACCAAACCTTCGACCAATCTCTCTAATCTATCCAATCTATCTTCGGGATGATCTCGGCCAACTGGTGGTCTACCCCTCCTCATGATGCTAAGAGTATGCAGAATGTGAGTTTAAAACAAAACGATCAAATAATATGCATGCAAATAACAAATAGTCACGCCGAGATGATGCACACATTGTCAAGTAGCAAGCATTATAATGCAATCCTAACATCGGTTCTAAGGGAAATCCTCTGCTCTCTAGGACTCGAAGTGTGTGAGTAACGTACTATAAGAAACTTGGGCTCTGATACCAATTTGTCATGCCCCATTCCGCCCCTAGTAGAATGGTGCCATGATGGCCAGTAATCCGAGATTACCAAAGGCCGATGATGCACACATTGTCAAGTAGCAAGCATTATAATGCAATCCTAACATCGGTTCTAAGGGAAATCCTCTGCTCTCTAGGACTCGAAGTGTGTGAGTAACGTACTATAAGAAACTTGGGCTCTGATACCAATTTGTCATGACCCCATTCCGCCCCTAGTAGAATGGTGCCATGATGGCCAGTAATCCGAGATTACCAAAGGCCAACTTCCAAAATTCACATACAATCAGAGTATAAATATATGGGGCTCACAAGTGCGGAAGCAATATATATACAATTCTAATTAGTCCCCAAGAGCTGTGCATAAGTCAAATGGAATGACATACGTCTTAACAAGGTCTTACAACTTGGGTACAATAAAATGAAGTACAAAAATACATCTTGACCAAAAGGCTTCTCGAACCATCATATACAAAATACAATGAAATGCAAGCTAAGAAGCATGATCTTCAAGATGCTACAAAATGCGAATCCAAAACAAGTTGAAAAGCACATCTAGGCGTCGCCGCCGTCCTGCTCATCACCTACATATATATAGAGAGGGTGAGCTTGGATACTTAGTGAACGGTACAAGTAATAAAGGGTTTGCATGAATAATATCTAAGATCTTTATCAAAGCGATACACATTATATCTTGTACAAAATCAAAGACAAAACAAGTTCATCTAACAAGTCTTTCAAGCTTCATCAATCAAAGTCTTTCAAGGCTTTCGAGTTTCAAGGGATGACATTAACAAAGGTTGTGCTACAAATTCTTATAATCCCCCAGCACGTACGGACTTTCAAAGGTTGTGCTACAAATGCTTATAGTCCCCTAGCACGTACGGACTTTTAAACGTTGTGCTACAAATGCTTATAGTCCCCTAGCACGTACGGACTTTCAAAGGTTGTGCTACAAATGCTTATAGTCCCCTAGCACGTATGGACTTTCAAAGGTTGTGCTACAAATGCTTATAGTCCCCTAGCACGTACGGATTTTCAAAGGTTGTGCTGCAAATGCTTATAGTCCCCCAGCACGTACGGACTAGTGCCATAAATACTTAAAGTCCCCTGGCACGTACGGACTTCCCGAGAATGTCATCCAA